CCTTTTCTAAAACCAAGTAAACTTGAACTTGAGTTTGAGGACTTTTATTGGGCACAGGAGTAAAACAATGTCCAGGGTTTGCTTAAGGTGATGATCTAGGCTGCCACTGGGCCTCGGGCTGGGACACCAAAGCACCCCCAGGTGCCAATGAGTCAGAAACCGGAGAACTGTCATCAAGCAGGGAAGAAGCAGGAGGGGGATGAGCCGGGAGAGCGGCGTCATCATGTGCACACTGCAGCGTATTAAACGGAGAACGGATGAGAACCGGGAGAGCGGCGTCGGCTGTGCGCACCACTGCGTATTAAACGGAGAACGGATGAGAACCGGGAGAGCGGCGTCATCTGTGCACACCGCCGCGTATTAAACGGAGAACGGATGAGAACTGGCAGAGCGGCGTCGGCTGTGCGCACCACTGCGTATTAAACGGAGAACGGATGAGAACCGGGAGAGCGGCGTCATCTGTGCACACCGCCGCGTATTAAACGGAGAACGGATGAGAACTGGCAGAGCGGCGTCGGCTGTGCACACCACTGCGTATTAAACGGAGAACGGATGAGAACCAGGAGAGCGGCGTCGGCTGTAAGCACCGCTGCGTATTAAACGGAGAACGGATGAGAACCGGGAGAGCGGCGTCGGCTGTGCGCACCACTGCGTATTAAACGGAGAACGGATGAGAACCAGGAGAGCGGCGTCGGCTGTGCGCACCACTGCGTATTAAACGGAGAACGGATGAGAACCGGGAGAGCGGCGTCATCATGTGCACACCGCCGCGTATTAAACGGAGAACGGATGAGAACCGGGAGAGTGGCGTCATCTGTGCACACCACTGCGTATTAAACAGAGAACGGATGAGAACCGGGAGAGCAGCGTCATCTGTGCACACCACTGCGTATTAAACAGAGAACGGATGAGAACCGGGAGAGCAGCGTCGGCTGTGCGCACCACTGCGTATTAAACAGAGAACGGATGAGAACCGGGAGAGCAGCGTCGGCTGTGCGCACCACTGCGTATTAAACAGAGAACGGATGAGAACCGGGAGAGCGGCGTCATCATGTGCACACCGCCGCGTATTAAACGGAGAACGGATGAGAACCGGGAGAGCGGCGTCGGCTGTGCGCACCACTGCGTATTAAACAGAGAACGGATGAGAACCGGGAGAGTGGCGTCGGCTGTAAGCACCACCACATATTAAACGGAGAACGGATGAGAACCAGGAGAGCGGCGTCGGCTGTAAGCACCGCTGCGTATTAAACGGAGAACGGATGAGAACCGGGAGAGTGGCGTCGGCTGTAAGCCCCACCGTATTTAAACGGAGAACGGATGAGAACTGGCAGAGCGGCGTCGGCTGTGCACACCACTGCGTATTAAACAGAGAACGGATGAGAACCGGGAGAGCGGTGTCGGCTGTAAGCACCACCGCATATTAAATGGAGAACGGATGAGAACCAGGAGAGCGGCGTCGGCTGTAAGCACCGCTGCGTATTAAACGGAGAACGGATGAGAACCGGGAGAGTGGCGTCGGCTGTAAGCCCCACCGTATTTAAACGGAGAACGGATGAGAACTGGCAGAGCGGCGTCGGCTGTGCACACCACTGCGTATTAAACGGAGAACGGATGCGAACCGGGAGAGCGGTGTTGGCTGTAAGCACCGACACGTATTAAACGGAGAATGGATGAGAACCGGGAGAGCGGCGTCGGCTGTGCACACCACCGCGTATTAAACGGAGAACGGATGAGAACCGGGAGAGCAGCGTCATCTGTGCACACCGCCGCGTATTAAACGGAGAACGGATGAGAACCGGGAGAGCGGCGTCGGCTGTAAGCACAGCCGCGTATTAAACGGAGAACGGATGAGAACCGGGAGAGTGGCGTCGGCTGTAAGCACCACCGCATGTTAAACGGAGAACGGATGAGAACCGGGAGAGCGGCGTCATCATGTGCACACCGCCGCGTATTAAACGGAGAACGGATGAGAACCGGGAGAGCGGCGTCGGCTGTAAGCACAGCCGCGTATTAAACGGAGAACGGATGAGAACTGGGAGAGTGGCGTCGGCTGTAAGCACCACTGCGTATTAAACAGAGAACGGATGAGAACCGGCAGAGCGGTGTCGGCTGTAAGCACCACCGCATATTAAACGGAGAACGGATGAGAACCGGGAGAGTGGCGTCGGCTGTAAGCACCACCGCATATTAAACGGAGAACGGATGAGAACCGGCAGAGCGGCGTCGGCTGTGCACACCACCGCGTATTAAACGGAGAACGGATGAGAACCGGGAGAGCGGCGTCGGCTGTGCACACCACTGCGTATTAAACAGAGAACGGATGAGAACCGGGAGAGCGGTGTTGGCTGTAAGCACCGACGCGTATTAAACGGAGAACGGATGAGAACCGGGAGAGCGGCGTCGGCTGTGCGCACCACCGCGTATTAAACGGAGAACGGATGAGAACCGGGAGAGCAGCGTCATCTGTGCACACCACTGCGTATTAAACAGAGAACGGATGAGAACCGGGAGAGCGGCGTCATCATGTGCACACTGCCGCGTATTAAACGGAGAACGGATGAGAACCGGGAGAGTGGCGTCATCTGTGCACACCGCCGCGTATTAAACAGAGAACGGATGAGAACCGGGAGAGCGGCGTCATCATGTGCACACTGCCGCGTATTAAACGGAGAACGGATGAGAACCGGGAGAGCGGCGTCGGCTGTGCGCACCACTGCGTATTAAACAGAGAACGGATGAGAACCGGGAGAGCGGCGTCATCATGTGCACACTGCCGCGTATTAAACAGAGAACGGATGAGAACCGGGAGAGCGGTGTCAGCTGTAAGCACCACCGCGTATTAAACAGAGAGCGGATGAGAGCCCGCTGCGCAGCACTGGGAACCCTGCTCAGCGCTCGTGGCGGCCTAAACGGGAAAGAAATCTGAAGAAGAGGGGCCATGTATATAGGGCCTCCCCAGTGAAAGTGAAGTGAAGCCACTCAGTCGTGTCCAACTCTTTGTGACCCCGTGGACTGTAGCCTACCACGCTCCTCCATCCATGGGACTTTCCAGGCAAGAGTACTGGAGTGGGCTGCCATTTCCTTCTCCAGAGGATCTTCCCGACCCAGGGATCGAACCCGGGTCTCCCACATTGTAGGCAGATGCCTTACCGTCTGAGCCACCAGTTGTAAAGAATCCGCCTGCTAATGCGGGAGATGCAGGTTTGATCCCTGGGTCGGGAAGATCCCCTAGAGTAGGAAATGGCAACTCACTCCAACATTCTTGCCTGGGAAATCCATGGACAAAGGAGCCTGACAGGCTGTAGTCCATGGAGTTGCAGAGTTGGACACGACTTCGCAACCGAACCATCATATAAACGTGTGTATGTATGTACATGTTCCCTCTGCTGAGCAGCAGAAACCGACAGCATCATAAAATGGCTGTCGCTGTGACCCGTGGACTGCAGCCCGCTGCGCTCCTCCATCCACGCGTTCTCCAGGCAAGAGGACTGGAGTGGGTGGCCATTTCCTTCTCCAGGGGATCCTCCTGACCCAAGGATCGAACTCTGGTCTCCTGTGTCTCCTGCATTGCAGGTAGATCCTTTACCCACTGAGTCATTGGGGAAGCCCTTAAAGCAGCTGTACTTCAATTTAAAAAAAAAGAAACTAGTAAACTAGAAAAAACCTTAGTGTTGAGTGAGGTGCCCCTGAAAATCCACGCCTACAAGCCAGTGCTCATGAACATCCGATGCCTGAACTCCCACCTCAGGGTGCCCTGGGATACGAGGCTGAAAACTTGCTCTGAAGTCATCCAGACACGCCGACATCTCCAGGGTCTGTCAGGGTCAGATGGCGGCTGGAGAAACACCTCCAATCCCATCAGATAGGAGCCTGCGTTTGAAAAGAGTAACAACATAGTGTGACAAAAAGCAAAGTATGATGAACCCAGGGTCTTAAAAACTCTGAGCAACAGTGGAGATGCTGGAATCATCAACCACAGATGGAGGAGTCATGGGTAGTATGTGCTGTAAAGTGAAAGACTTTAAAGGACTTGAAATTATTTACTAAAGCGGTTAAAGGCATTTAAAACTCACCAGACACATTTGTATAAGAATAAACTCCCAAAAATAAAAACAAAACAACTGAAATTCAGAATCTGTATGGATTTGAGATCTAATTACATGCAGAAAATGCCTAGAATGTAGGTGAGAGAAAAAGAGATGGAAAATATGAGAAATTCATGAAATGAAAAAATAGGAAGATCTAATTTACATCTGTGTGAGTTCATAATGAGTGGAGAGAGAATGGAACAGAGATGTTAAATTAGTAAGTCCAGCCTGATAATTCTGTAGCCTCTAGAACTTTGAGAGAGTAAACTTGTCTAAAGCTACTCACTTTTTTGTACTTTGTTGTGACAACCCTGGGAAGTTAGTATGCCCACGTGTTTGGGAATTAAGAAACATACTTTTAAACACGTCATAAGTCAAAGAAAACATAAAAATGAAAGTTTAAAACGCTTTGAATTAAATGATAATGAGAACACCGTGTATCTAAGAGGCTGAACTTAGGCCGCAGTAGAGCAGTATTCAGGCTTACGTTTACAAGTCGAGAAAGAAGGAAGGGTAAAAATAAATGAGTGAGATATCCAAGATAAGAAGTTAGAATAAAAAAGGCTCCAAGAATGTAGACTGCAGGGCATAACAAAAATAAGAGCAGAAATCAATGAAATAACAAAAATTGAGTAGCAAGTACTGAGGAATCCCAGAAACATAATGCCAAATACTTGAAGAAGCAAGTTAAGAACCAAGTAATATTCCATTTACAAAGGTGTTTGAAATTACAAAACTAAATGCGTTGTCAGGGGTAAAACATTTCGGGTGGCGTTTCCATCGGAGCCAGGAGGGGCTGGCTGGCCGGAGCAGGATGCGGAGGCAGGGGCGGTGGGCGCGCCTGTCTGGCCTCTGGCGGTTCGCGTCCTTCCACACCCCGGTCACAGCCTCTGCCGTTTCCCTCGCAAGGTGCTCGCGGACATGGAGGCGCAGGTGCATAAGCTGAGAGAGGAGCTGGTCAGCGTGAACTCGCAGCGGAAGCAGCAGCTGGTGGAGCTGGGGCTCCTGCGGGAGGAGGAGAAGCAGAGGGCCACGCGGGACCACGAAGCCGCGGTGAGCAAGCTGAAGGCCGAGTCGGAGAAGATGAGGCTCGAGCTGAAGAAGACCCACGCCGCCGAGGCGCAGCTGACGCTGGAGAAGGTAGGCAGCCGGGCAGTGGGAGGCGGGCCGGTGCGAGGCCCAGGCCGCCGCCTTGGCTTCCGGGCCCGCCTCTCAGGCGTGGCCTGGAGCCGTCCCCCCAGTTTATAGGCCTTGCAGGTGCGCGGTGTGCGCGTCTCAGGCTTCCCCACCTCGCCCCTGCCTCCCGGGCAGGGACTGACGGAGCACCCCTGCCAAGTGAGCAAAGACGCGTGTGCTGTCGAGCATCACAGTGGGCGGGGGTGTGTGGGCCCAGCGTTGAGTGGAGGCCCTGGACAGGCCTGGGCTTTGCCCTTGTGCGCATCGGAGGCCGGGGGTGGGTCCCGGCTGACGGTTCTCTGAGCACGCCCGCTGAGGGCAGAGCTGGACGCCGGGAGACCAGTTCAGCTACTGCGGGAACTCGGGCGGGAGGTGACCGTGCTGGGCTGGCCAGGGGCACGGAGGGTGGTGACCAGCCCCGTCCCCTTGGGGCCCAGGTGTCCGCAGCGGGGCTCAGGGTTTGCTTCAGGCTCAGACGTGTCAGGGCGGCGCTGTGAGCGGGTCGTCCTGAGTGGCTGCAGGGCGGTGCTGGAGCCGGTGGGCACACGGCCTCAGTCCCCTCTGCTGAGAGGCGGGGGCGTCGGAGCCTCCGGGACACGGCCGGCCGCGGGGCCTTTGTGCACCCAGCAGGGTCGCAGGTGGCCGTCTCGCCAGAGCAGCGCAGTCAGAGCTTTGAGGCAGAGTGCACAGTGTCCAGGCCGCGGCGTCTGCTGCGGGGCTGTCTCAGCCTCTGGCCACAGCCAGGGGGACGATGAGGACAGCGCTCCCGCCCCGCCAGTCACCGCTGCCCGCCGGGCAGAGTGTCTCTAAGGACACAGGCTTCAGTGGCCTGGGCACCATGTGCCCCGAGGGTTCAACTCCAGATAGTGAAGCCAGACTTAGAACAGGCAGCCGAGGCCTCCGTCCTCTTCAGTCAGGCGTCCACGTTTCAAAGGGTTCTTTTCAATAAGAGCGGAGTTTTCAAGTACAGGTTTATATGTGTTGTTAACGGATATACAGGTTACAGATAATAAAATAGTGTTGGATCCCGCCAGTAGCTTGGCCAGCATTTCTGGGACATCTTCTGTGCCTGAGGCGTTGTCCCAGCACTTGGGAACCACGCAGAAAGGCGAGAACGAGAGACCCGTCTCTGAGGAGCCCGTGGGCGGGGCGTCTGCGGGACACGCAGGGGCGGCGAGCAGGGCGGGCCGAGCCGCGAGGCGCGCTCTAAGGGCGTCCGGGGCGCGCTGGACGCCGCGACGCGGGGCTAGGGCGCGCAGGCGCGGAGCCGCGCCCTGACGGGCATGTCGGGGGCTGGGAGGCGACCCGGGCGGCGCGGTTCTGGCGGGGCCTGACCAGCAGGCCTGCCGAGCTCACCTGTGCTGGTCTTGGCTCCGAGCCTGAACCCCGGGGGCGCTCAGGGCTCCTTCGCCGTGAAGTGGCAGGACCCACGGGGCTGTTAGGCTCTGGCGTCAGCGTTGGCATGACCAGCGCAGCGGAGGGGTCAGTCCAGGGGGGCCCCCAGGGCGCCTCGAGGTGCAGTGCGGTGGCGACCCTGCCGGAGGAGGCTCGTCTGAGTCGGCCCGGAGGGCAGCCATTCGGTGCGCGCTCCTGTCGGGTCCTCTGGTCCGGCAGAGGGGGCCCTCCATTCAGGCCCAGCAGCAGTTGGGATTGGAGGAGCGTTTGTAGACGACCCTCAGGAGGGCCGGACAGAGCGGGGACTGCAGCGCTGGGGCTGGGGGTCATACCCCAAACCACCAGACATGCAGGACTGGTGAAGTAGGGGAGGAGACAGAGAGGAAGAGGAGAAAAGTGTATTTTCCTAGAAACAGCAGGAGGCAGTTTGGAAAGGACGCTTATCAAGGATGTGACAGAAAATCTGGAAGGCCTAGCGGGGAGGAAGGTCCAGGACTTGGAACTGAGGATGGCTGTGACCGTGGGCAGGGCGCTGCAGGCGGCGGTGTGGACAGAGCGCGGCCGCAGGGGGCAGTGGGGAAGGTGGGGGTGCTCGGGGAGGACGGCGCGCAGCAGGAAGGAGTGGTCCCCAGAGCGCACGAGTCGGGGTTTAGGCTGAAAACGTCTGGAGATGCTCGAGCGGAGGAGCCGCCTGGCGGGACCGTGGGCCCTGATGCTTGCGGCTGCGATGCGGCTGTGAGCCAACTTCCGCTGAGCCACAGGGACTGTGGCCGGTCCTGGGGGCCACCTCCCTCGCCCCTGCCCGCAGGTCCCTGCCCTGGGAAGGCTCCCTGTCCCCTCTCCCCTGTGCTCTCCGGTCGGTAGAGCCTCACCGCGGGCGGGCCTCTCAGTGCGATGCCCAGGCCGAGACTCTTCTATTTTTTTTTTAAACATTTTACTTTAAAAGTTATCTAAATTGATGCAAAAATTAACATCTTCATACTAAAAATTTTGTCAACATTTCCATTTTCCCCCTTAGTTTAAGATCCCAGTTGAATTACAGGGTCAAATTGCTTTTCAACAACATTGTACTAATTTATTTTTCCCCACAGACTATCTGTTTCATATAGCCAGTCCTTAGTATTAGTACTCTAATTTGGGGGGGCAGGGTGTTGGTGAGAAACATTTATTGATTCTAATTTCCTATTTAAGAGTGAGACTGGATATTTATAACAGATCCGTTGGTCATGTTTCCTTTCCTGAGAGTTGTGTGTTCATGTCCTTCGTCTGTTTCTCGGCGGTTGATGTCCTTACATGTTCTGATCACCTTATATGAACTTCGTGTTTAGCATGAGAAAATTCTTTGTGGCAAGTATTTTTGGTATTTGCCTTTTAATTTTGTCCTTTGATTTTATGAAACACAAAAGTTTTATTTATATTTAGTGTATTGTCAGGTCCTGTGTGAAATCTCCAGTATAAGTAGTGGCTTTAAGCTTCACAATTTGATATCTTAAAATTTATGAACACATCACACATTTTGCACACTGTACTGAATTTAAAAAGCTCTTGTGAAATTGACATGGTACTTAGAGGCTCGGGCTCCTGGTCTATAATTTTAATGGCATCTGAAGGACCGTACTGGAATTCTGCAGCTGGAAGTCACCAAAAGGCCTGGAGCAGCAACTCAGCATCTTTTTCAAATTTAAGGAAAGCTCCATATGGTGTAATTTTCCAAAGCTAAGGTCACAGAAACTACTTAGACCTTTGAGATTTATAATTAAACGATTAATATTAACTTAAGAAGACATTGTCATTTTGACTTAAAATGGATTTCTGATCTCAATTCTGTTCTTCTTACTTTGATCTTTTCCCCAAGTTTTTCCTTTGCAAAGAAGGTGAAGTTTGTGTCCTTAAAATTTTTAATTAAATGTTATTCTCAAACAGTTCAAATTTACAAAAACTGACCGACACACAGCATCCAGCTTGACCCTCGCAGAGCGCCGCACGTGTCGGTGGACTTCCAGTTGGTGTTTCCTGAGCGTGCGCACCTCAGCGTGGTGTGATGGGCTCTACTGATGCCTCTGAACTTAACGATAAGTTAATCTAATACAAAACAAAAAACCTGCACAGACAGAAACTTGGAAAACTGTCAGTTCAGTTCAGTCGCTTAGTCATATCCCACTGTTTGCAACCCCATGAACTATAGCAAGCCAGGTCTCCCTGTCCATCAACTCCCAGAACTTACTCAAACCCATGTCCATTGAGTTGGTGATGCCATCTCATCCACTGTCATCCCCATTTCCTCTGGCCCTCAATCTTTCCCAGCATCAGGGTCTTTTCCAGTGAGTCAGTTCTTCATATCAGGTGACCAAAGTATCAGAGTTTCAGCATCAGTCCCTCCAATGAATATTCAGGGCTGATTTCCTTTAGGATGGACTGGTTGGATCTCCTTGCAGTCCAAGGGACTCTCAAGAGTCTTTTCCGACACCACAGTTCAAAGGCATCAATTCTTCTGCACTCAGCTTTCTTTATAGTCCAACTCTCACATACATACATGACTACTGGAAAAACCATAGCTTTGACTAGATGGATCTTTGTTGGCAAAGTAATGTCTCTGCTTTTACTAGATGGATCTTTGTTGGCAAAGTAATGTCTCTGCTTTTTAATATGCTGTCTAGGTTGGTCATAACTTTTCTTCCAAGGAGCAAGCGTCTTTTAATTTCATGGCTGCAGTCACCATCTGCAGTGATTTTGGAGCCCCAAAAAATAAAGTCTGTCACTGTTTCCATTGTTTCACCATTTATTTGCTATGAAGTGATGGGACCGGATGCCATGATCTTAGTTTTCTGAATGTTCAGTTTTAAGTCAACTTTTTCTCCCTCCTCTTTCACTTTCATTAAGAAGCTCTTTAGTTCTTTTTCACTTTCTGCCATAAGAGTGGTGTCATATGCATACCTGAGGTTATTGATATTTCTCCCAGCAATCTTGACTCCAACTTGTGCTTCATCCAGCCTGGCATTTTGTGTGATGTACCCTGCACATAAGTTAAATAAGCAGGGTGACAATATACAGCCTTGACGTACTCCTTTCCCTATTTGGAACCAGTCTGTTGTTCCATGTCCAGTGCTAACTGTTGCTTCTTGACCTGCATACAGATTTCTCAGGAGGCAGGTCAGGTGATCTGGTATTCCCATCTCTTTAACAATTTTCCACAGTTTTTTGTGGTCCACACAGTGGGCATGTTCATAATCTGAGTGTGATGATCTGGTGTTCATTTATATTTATTGTTCAGTTGCTCAGACGTGTCCAACTCTTTGTGACCCCATGGACTGCAGCACGCCAGTCTTCCCTGTCCTTCACCATCTCCCAGAGTTTGCTCAAACTCATGTCCATTGAGTCGGTGATGCCATCCAACCATCTCATCCTCTGTCATCCCCTTCTTCTCCTACCTTCAGTCTTTCCCAGCATCAGGGTTTTTAGTGAGTTGGATCTTTACATCAGGTGGCCAAAGTATTGGAGCTTCAGCTTCAGCATCAATCCTCCCGATGAGTATTCAGGTCTGATTTCCTTTAGGATTGACTGGTTTGACC